GCATTATCTACTGTTTTACTAACATAGTCATGCTAATGACTTAACAAATGTGTTAACTAATGTATTAATTAACTTATTAATATAAGTTTAGTTAAAATTATGGTTTAGTATTGCTGAATAAATGTGTTGTTTATTGTTAGGTCATGTTTAGTAATCCATGAACAAATTCTTCAGTGTATGCAAGTAAACAAACTTATTAAGCTGTTGATGTAAAGAGATTAGAATAGAATGTGTGTCAATTAATATTAGTTACAGTCACTGTTCATCATTAGTTGATGTTAACTAAAGCCTTACCTAACATGTTACTACATGTTTAGTTAACATTAACAAAAATCAAGTAATGCTTAACTGATGAGTTGATCATTGTTAGTTCATGCTAAAGAATGCATTACCGTTAAGTGTTACCGATCTTTTATGAACAGTAACATTACACACTAAAGGAAGCTGACAGTGTATAAAGTATAATAGGAACGAATAAACAGGAAGGCAGTAGTTTTTTGTAAACACTATTTACAGAAAAAGCTTAACAAATTGCCCAAACAGGTAAGCAGTGATAACAGACCAATCCATAGAAAACTCCCCACAAAACAAGCACAAGCAAACAACTGGTGACTCAAAATATTCTTACTGGAATATCGGACAGTGAGATCTTGTTGACTGAGCTGCTGATCAGGAACTGAGTCTTTGACGGACTCCTTATTTCTGAAGGAGGTGAAGGACCAGCCACCATAATCATCATCAAAGTCTTCAACTAGAGCTCGTCCCTTTCCAGTTGTACCACCCGGACCGGAGGAACGATTTAGCTTTGTGGAGCGCCGGTATGGACTGCCATCTTCAATTACATACCTTTATTGCAAAAGAATAAAAACCTTGAGTTAAAAAATTTCCGGATTTGTATCATTTTGTAAAGAATCCATGTAAAAAAATAAACAATTGTGTTTGAAATAAAATGCATTTGATGTGAATACCTGGTCTTGGCAATGGCATCTTCAAGGAAGAACTGCTCTACTGGGAAAGTACGCCCTAAAGATGGAAGGAATTTTGAAATGTGTGTAAAAAACTTAAAGTAATAATAAGGTAAGAAATGTGTGGTACATTACACCATTATCAAACACAGTGTTTACATTATTTTAAGGCACTAAAATCTATTTTTATTATTGCAAAAGCTTTACAGCTCTGGAAAAAAATAAGAGAAACTTAATAATTACTGTTTCTCTGGATTCGTCAATAAAGGATGTGATTTAGAGCTAATTCACCAAAAATGACAAAATGCTGATATAAATAAAAACATAAAATAACTTGAATATTGAGGCAATCTCTCTTGCTACATACATAGGTAATTATATATTTATTAAATGTATATACAATTGAAGTCAGATTTATTAGCCCCCCTTTGATTTTATTTTATTTATTTTTTTAATATTTCCCAAATAATGTTTAACAGAAACTTTTTAACAGGAAATTTTCACAGTATGTCTGATAATATTTTTACTTCAGGAGAAAGTGTTATTTGTTTTATTTAGGCTAGAATAAAAGCTGTTATTAATTTTTTAATAAACATTTTAAGGTCAACATTATTTATTTTTTAACCCCTATTTATTTATTTTTTGATAGTCTACAGAACAAACCACTGTAATACAATAACTTAGCTAATTACCCTAACCTGCCTCGTTTACCTAATTACCCTAGTTAAGCCTTTATATGTCACTTTAAGGACTTTAAGGACATCTACACTCCCTCCCTCCAGGACATCTACACCAGGCGGTGCATGAGGGAAGCCAAGAGAATAATCAGCTACTCTAGCCACCCAAGCCGTAGACTTTTCTCTCTGCTACCCTCAGGCAGACGGTTCCGCAGCATCCGGTCACGCACTCGCCGGCTGAAGAAAAGTTTCTTCCCTCAAATTATCAGGCTGATGAACACTTAACACACCCCACACAGACTCTTCCATACCCCTCACTGCATACCATCAATATGTAGCATGCACTGCACTTTAACCAATCCATACTTGAAACAATACTGCCTACAACTATGTGGGCACCTATTCATTGTACATGTCGCTGTCAATTTAACATTGTCCTGTTTCTTTCTTTTTTTTTTCTTCTTTTTTTTGAGTAGTATGCTGTTGTATTTGCACTGTCATTTTATTTGCACTGTCATTTTATTTGCACTGTCTGTATTTTGCACTGTCTGTATTTACACTGTCATTTTATTTGCACTGTATTTTGTACTGTCTGGAGCCAGCACCTAAGCTTTTCACTCATCATAGCACACATGCTGCTGCTGATGATGTGACAATAAAAGTGATTTGACTTGATTTAAGCTGTATTTATCTTATTCTCTGCGCACAAGTGGGCGTAGACATTTTAATAGTTTTGGCTCAAGATTTCCAGTCTCATTCACTTCCATTCATTTAGTTAAAAACAGCTTGTTTTGCTGCTTGATGTTGCAAACTGATATTTTCTTATTATATTATTCTGTTTTGTCTGTATAGTTATGGATGCACTTGTTTGTAGAGCAAGTAGTTTGACCGTTTTCTGCCGTTTATTATTCCTAGTCATTTCTCCCATAGGGAGCTGAATCGGAAGTTCTAAAACAATCGCAAAAACGAGCGCACTTCCGCATTGAAGAATAAGGTCAATAGAAGTGTATTGAAAAAGATCTAGTAAAATAATATTTAGTCATCATGGCAAAGATAAAATAAATCAGTTATTCGAAATGAGTTATTCTCCATTAAACAGAAATTGGGAAAAAAATAAACAAGGGGGCTAATAATTCTGACTTCAACTGTATAATTACAAAAGTATGTATGTATGTATGTATGTATGTATGTATACACACACACACACACACACACACACATTGTATATATATATATATATATATATATATATATATATATGCAAAAGTTCAGTTTGGTTCTTGAATCTGATTGGCTGATAGCTGTGATAGTCTGCAAATAACAGCACTGGTACAGCCTCTTCTCTCACAAGTTTTTTTTTTGCTACGCCCACATGCGCGACAAGCAGAGGACACTCTACAGACAAATATTGCTGCTGTTGGACAACATACTGTACTTTTGTGGCTTTTTTTAGTCAAGAATGTAGTTGTTTACATTGCAACTAGGGGAAATCTCTGTAGACTGATGCCACTTCATGACGTTCAGCCTTATGATCTTAAAATGTGAGCAAAAATTACCTGTTTTGCAACAACTTATAGATGTTATTATGCGGTCAAACTGTTGTTTATATGTCTGCATATATGGGGATGCCAAGGCACTCGGCCTGTGGCCTCGAGCCAATGCACGGCTCCCACCAGTGCCCATAAACACTTCTATTTGTGTGATATTGCTCATATATAATGTATAATAAATATAACGTATATATAAATTGTATTTTTTTATTGTTAGTTTATTTTGAAAGGACATTAGGAGAGTAAATAATAATAAGTATGTTTTTGTATATTTATTATTTACTCTGCTATCATCCTATTCAAATAAATTATGTAAATGATAACTCTTAGTAATGGCAAGCACCCATTAATGGCAAATCCCAGAGAATCAAGTTTTAATAACTTCAAAATGTTGTTTTTTTCAAGAGCTGTACATAAAAATAAATGTGTAATGAAAGATAAATGATGTGGGGTTTACCTGGTATATGGATGCAGGGGCAGTTGTTGAAATACTGTGAGAACAGTTCAGCATTCAAGGTTGCACTCATCATAATTACTTTCAGATCTGTCCTTTTTACAATCAGATCCTTCAAAACCAGCAACAGGAAGTCACTGCAAGACAAGTATTGTGCTACTGTCAGATTCACTTCATGTGACGGTTTATTTATGTGCATTTGAGCTTTCCACACACCTCTCTTCTGTTCGTTCATGGACCTCATCCACGATCACATGTGTGACACCGCTGAGCTCAGGATCACCTTCTAACCTCCTCAAAAGAACACCAGTTGTGCAGAACATCAGCCTGGTGATAGAGGACTGGATGCAACAAAACACAAAAACTTCTATTAGAAGGCTAGGTATTACCGCATAACACTACCATGCAAAAATCAGACATTCAAAGAGAAAAAAAAATAATACAACAAAATAAAATTTTTTTAAATGGAAAGAAAATAAATATTTTATTATTGTTTTTTATTAATGTTTTAAACTGAACAGGAAAAAAGACATTACAATGTTTTACAAACTTTTTCAACTTGCATTCAATTGATTTTTTTAAGTCCATGGTTTACACAAAACATTCATAACAGGAACTACAGCAACTATGATAATTCAGTTGGTGATGGCTGGTGAAAAAAATCACCATCACATGAATAAACTAAATTCTAGAATACTATTTGTTTTTAACGGCAAGAAAACAGTGAAGTAATCTGTGGAGTTGCTTTTTAGCCTGAATTAAAATAAACCCAACTTCAGGATTGTCATTTATACTACACTGAACTGAACAGGGTTCAACGCTAAGGATTTTTTCTACTGGCCCGATTGGGCCAGCGGTTCAGATTTTTACTTGCCCTGCGAATATTTTCACTGGCCCCACCAAAAAAAAAGTTAAGTTAATAGAAATTCCTTAGCCACATGTTTTTAATATTGTGTCAAAAATGTGTTTTGAATCTAGAATTTTTATTTTTTTTAAATGTTAAAAAATGTATAATGAGCATATCTTCGCATTGTACCCACGTAAATGTCTGCTTCCAAGACATTCTTTTAGCCTCATAAATTCATTTCGCTATACTGGTTTTTACCAGGTTACAAAAAAAACGACATGCTCACAACATCCAATCAGATCGAAGGAACCGAAAAGCAACATGATGTTTACGACATCACTGAGAAGGCAGCATTTAAAGGCTTAAAAGCACAACCTGTTTCTCGATTCTAAGACTGTATTTATATGCAATTGACAAATAGTCGCAGACAAATTGAACTCTTGTGACAAGGCACTACAAATCCGGCCAGTAACAATTCTGTCTACTGTCCAGAGCGCCTCGCACGCTGGCCCCGGGCCACCGGGCAGTCCTTATTGTTGAGCCCTGCTGAATCAGTTTTAATTTACTAGAACTAAACCAGAAATCTACTATTACTCTCCTGCCTGCCTGAACTGCTGGAATGTTCCACAGTTAGAAATATTTATGTATTTGTATTATTTTTTCTTCATCTATGTGAAGCCGCATTGACACAATCTAAATTGTAAAAAAGCAGTACAGAAATAAAGAAGAATTGAACTGAATTATGATAATAAAAATATTTTACATTTTTGCAAGACTTACAAGACTTAACATTCTTAAAAATAGTAAAAGACTCTTAAACTAGTACAAAAATCGTACCAACCCCAGCTTTTAAATAAGATTTTTGAGGATCTGTTATGAATATATTTTCCTTAAATGGTTTTCATGAAAAAAAAAAATCACTATTATTAAAAATAATTATTTTATTTAAAAAAAAATGACTTGAAAACAATTCATTTGAGAACAAAAGAATGAAAACACAAAAATGACAAATAATTTCAATAAATAAATTCATCTACAAATCAAATTTATACTATTATTTATATTAACAATAAAACAACGAATGATAAAAGATGATGAAAATCTTATGACATGCAGTTGGTATGTAAAGTGGTGTTACCCTGACGGTCTCCAGGCGGATCTGGTAGCCTGTGGAGTGCCCCAGGGCCTCTGCTCGCTCCTGAGCCACTCGAGTTGCAACAGCAATGGCAGAGATTCTGCGTGGCTGAGTGCAAATAATGTTGGCTACTCTATCCGGCCGTCCAGTCTGGAGGAAATTATCCAAGATAAACTGAGGAATCTGAGTGGTTTTCCCACACCTGAAGTTACATTAATATAAATAATATATGATATGCAAACAAGATAGGTTAATAGATTTTAAATTATGCGGATCACAGACCTACCCGGTCATCCCACTGATAACCAGAACCTGATTCTTAACCAAACACTCCAATATGGCCTCTCTCTTCTGCCATGCTGGGAGTTTCTGCCTCTGCTCTTGCATTGATATGTATCGCCTCGATGACTGAAAGAAAAAACACATAAAGATCAGTTAAGCAAAACCAAAATAGTTTTTCCTTTTTTTGAAAGATCTGAAAACACTACAAAAAGAGTTTTTCTTTCATTATTTTAGTTTCATTTACAAAAATAAATCTGTCCACACGAAAAGGCAAAAAACTGTGTGCTGCATGTTAAGGGGGCTTTTATGCATTTATGATGGGTTCACACCATTTAGGAAAAATCTGAGATATTGTGTCAAAGGAAGAGATGGAGCGGCTTGTCCATGCCTTCGTCTCTTCTCGATTGGATTTTTGTAATGTTCTGTTCACTTGTCTAAACAAATCCTCTATGGAGCGATTGCAAGTTGTGCAGAATGCAGCAGCGAGGCTTTTAACTAACACCAGTAGGAGGTCACACATTACACCTGTGCTTAAGGCACTTCACTGGCTTCCTATTAGTTTTAGTGTAAATTTTATAATAATAATAATAATAATTCCTTACATTTATATAGCGCTTTTCTGGGCACTCAAAGCGCTTTACACACAATGGGGGAATCTCCTCATCCACCACCAGTGTGCAGCATCCACCTGGATGATGCGACGGCAGCCATTTTGCGCCAGACCGCACACCACACACCAGCTGATTGGTGGAGAGGAGACAGCGATGAAGCCAATTGGAATATGGGGATGGTTAGGAGGCCATGATGGACATAGGCCAGTGGGCAGATTTGGCCTGGATACCAGGGTTAAACCCCTACTCTTTTCGAAGGACATCCTGGGATTTTTAACGACCACAGAGAGTCGGGACCTCGGTTTAACGTCTCATCCGAAAGACGGCGCTCACTGAGCAGTATAGCGTCCCCGTCACTATACTGGGGCATTAGGACCCACACAGACCGCAGGTTGGGCGCCCCCTGCTGGCCTCACTAACACCACTTCCGGCAGCAACCTAGCTTTCCCATGTGGTCTCCCATCCAGGTACTGACCGGGCGCAGCCCTGCTTAGCTTCAGTGGGCGAAATTTTAAGATTTTGGCCATTACATATAGAGCTCTGCATGGTCAAGCACCCCTGTATATACAAGATCTTTTAAGCAGTCACTCATGTAGCCGGTCTCTGAGGTCTTCTGGCAAAGACCTGTTAGCCTTTCCCAGAACTCATCTTAAGACTCAAGGTGCTTTCTGTGTGGTGGCCCGATGGCTCTGGAACTCTCTCCCTTTAGCACTGAGAACTCTGGGATCAGTTGAACTATTTAAAAAGCATTTAAAGACACACCTTTTTGGGTCACGCTTTTAATTAACAGTATTAGTGTTTCTGTATTTGGACTTTTAATTAGTTTTAATGTTTTAACATGTCTTCTTTTATTGCCATGTGTTCTTTTAGTTGTTATTTCTTATTGTTAAGCACTTTGTGACTTAATGTCTGGGAAAGGTGCTATATAAATAAACCTTTACTTACTTACTTACTTGCCGGCAGCTAGCTCTCTGCAACTCTCACATGAAGCTAACTGAAGTTAAGCAGGGCTGCGCCCGGTCAGTACCAGGATGGGAGACCACATGGGAAAGCTAGGTTGCTGCCGGAAGTGGTGTTAGTGAGGCCAGCAGGGGGCGCCCAACCTGCGGTCTGTGTGGGTCCTAATGCCCCAGTATAGTGACGGGGACGATATACTGCTCAGTGAGCGCCGTCTTTCGGATGAGACATTAAACCGGGGTCCCGACTCTCTGTGGTCGTTAAAAATCCCAGGATGTCCTTCGAAAAGAGGGGTTTAACCCTGGCATCCTGGCCAAATCTGCCCACTGGTCTCTGTCCATCATGGCCTCCTAACCATCTCCATATTTCAATTGGCTTCATCACTGTCTCCTCTACACCAATCAGCTGGTGTGTGGTGTGCGGTCTGGCGCAAAATGGCTGCCATCGCATCATCCAGGTGGATGCTGCACACTGGTGGTGGATGAGGAGATCCCCCCCCATTGTGTAAAAGCGCTTTGAGTGCCTAGAAAAGCGCTATATAAATGTAAGGAATTATTATTAATTATTATTAATTAATTACTTACACCAAACAGGGAATTAAGTATTTTTGCATTTAAGTCAGGGCATTGTGCAGTGCGAACGATGCAGAATTTGCAATGCGTTTGCCACAAAGGTGCAGAATTTGCCTCATTCGAATCTTTCACCATTGGTATGAACCCAATCATGTTGGCCAATCAAAAAGAAAGAAAACAGCGCACTTGCTGACATTATGAAGTAAAAGCTCTGGTCGTGCAGGTGTTGGACAATGAAACTGAAATGCCTGGTTTTAGACAACAATAATTCATTCGTAGGGTGTAGAATTGTGTTACCCGTTTCCTTTTGAACTCTCTGCACAGCTTCTTGTTCTCTTCCTGCATTTGCTCAGTTCTGATTTCAGTCTTCTTCACCATCCTCTTCCTCAAGTTAACATAGCTCTCGTTTTCTACTGGGATACATTCCTCTTCATCTTCATCATCCCCTTCATCTTGTACATCATCAATATCCTCACTTAGGATTTGTGCAACTAATTGAACACAAAACTTTCATTATATAGTGAAATATTATATCAAGTATGATTAAATAATGGAGGCTTTAGGGTGTTCGGCTCCTTACCTTCTTTTTGTTTCACTCTGTGGTTCGTGATCTCGCTGATGCTAGTTGAGGTTGACTGATCTCTAGTTGCTGAAGTCCTGTTGTCTACATTGTTTTTATTGCTTCGACTCTTTGCCGGTGTGACAGTGGGAGGAGCCAGCACAGGAGGTGGGGCACTATACTTGTGATGAGCAGCTGACAGCAGCTCCCTGACAGGACCATCCTCTTCCAGGCTGGAAATAAGGGTGTAGACCACTGGCTCACCTTCCTCTGCAGCACTGAGTGACTGACCGAACAGATACTCTGTGACACTGAGACGTCCAGCCCCTGAGAGGGATTCATCTGTACTACTGAAGGCCACAAGTGGAGGTTGAAAAGGATATAAACTGCCTGGTTGGAAACGAATCTCCAGCTGGTAAATTGGAGCATCTGCGTTGCTAAACCCCGGTTGACTTGCCTTACAAAGATCTCTTGAAGTGCTTGATTCGTGAACTTGGTGCTTGAACTTGCAGCGATTCCCAAACTTACAACCTGCCCCCCTTAAGTAAAACTTGCAAATCTGATTGGACTCTGACTGCTTTTTAGAATGCTTAGAGTCAGAAAGTTTGATCCGTCTTTCATCCAACCACAGCAAATCAAGCTGAATAGTCCAAACCCGATTACTGATGCGCTCGCAGAACCTTTCGCCGTAGATTGCCGTCAAAGCAAAGGCCTCTTCCTGTCGCAAAGCTACACATTCCCCCTGTGAAGGGGGATCAGATGTTTGCGGGCTGAGGGCGCTAGAGCCAAATCGTTCTGTAAACATTTGGGATAGGAGGAGCTCTAATGTTGCTCCAACCTCACCGCATCCACTTCCTTCTCCGGCTTCCAAAGTTTGTCTGCTGCGCTCACGGTCAAACCCATACCTGCAACATGGGTAATACTGAGTTGCTAATATATGGAGGGTACAAGCAAGTATATTTATTTAGTAAGTATGCAAATATCAATGTTCTAGTTGTGTACTTGTGTACTAATAGCGCTTGAGACAAACTGGCCCACTCTCTAGTTTTTAAAGGATAGTTTTCTATTTTACGTTTAAAATAACTTCTATTGCCCTGACATTCCCAGTCAGCAGTGTTAACTGTGAGAGGGACTTCTCAACCATGAACAGGGTAATTAATACTTTTTATAACAGCATTTGCTGCTTTAAGCTACATTTTGTTTTAAAATGATGTAACAATAAGGGCCCTATCATACACCCGGCGCAGTGTGGCGCAAGTCACGGCCCAGTAGTCTTTTGGTAGTTTCAGCTTGGCGCAAGAGTCGTTTTGAGGCGTTGCGCTACGCTGTTTAAATAGCAAATGCATTAGCGCTCATTTGTGCGCCCATAAACGTTCTGGTCTAAAAAGGAAGGCGTTCTGAGGTGGACCGCTGGCGCGTTGCTATTTTGAGAAACTATAATAGACTAACTGTTCATTAGACCAAAACTAACCCGGTCTAAACTCCGGCGCAGAGTTGCGCCTCGCTTAATACGCACAAGAGAGCAATAGGCAAATATCTTTACATATGAAAAAATTTAAATATTAAGAATATATATAGGATATAATAAGAATAGATATAGAATATAAATATAAAGGATTAAAATATTACAAAACATTATTTTCTAGCCTACATAAATATGAAAATCACTGCTTTTATGTCTTCTTCATCTCGGGAAGCTTTTTCAGTTCATTCATAACAATTTGCTTTTGTATAATGTTATTATTATTATCAGTATTATTTATAATATGCATATTTATATTTGTTTTATTAAAAACAAGCTTAGATTTGCCCACCTGTCAGGTTTTAGACCATATGGGGCACAGCATGTGTTTTAGGATATAACTCAGGTTTTTGAGCTCATTTTGTTATTATTGTTTATTTATTCGTTTGCTGGAAATTATAACTGAATTTAGAAATAGTTTTGAAACTAATATTTGCGCTTAACAAACTTATTTTTTTTATAGACTAATTGATGTCTGTGCGTAAAGGTTTCCCTATCCAAGAGCGAATGTGAAAGTGATCCATTATCTCTCATTCTCACGCAGTAGATGTTCTGTTTAACAGTTTTCTGTTAAAAAACTGTTAACTGTTTGCTAGTGAAATGCTCATTTTTTCCACTTAGACTTACTTTGCGTCCTGTAAAAAGCGAATGCGCTCTTGGCGCGACGCAGCTGACTCTTAAAGGGAATGGGAGATGAGACTTTAATTGGTTTATTCTCAAAACACACCCATAACTCATTAAGAAAATAAACTCAACCCTTTTAGACCATGCGCCATGGCGCAAAGCAGGTTTTCCCGTCCTTAAATTACCAAAAACGCGTTCTGAGATGCCCTGAAAGCGTTTGCTGCCTGCGTTTTGCGCTCTGCGCATGGACCGTCAAAATAGAGCCCTCAATGTTCATTTTTAGCTTGTATGGTTGTACAGTTCAAATAATTGTTCAGTTATTTACTGTTATCATTAAAAGAAACAAAATAACAACTAAAAGGTTGTTTTGATTATCACTGTATTGTATACTTACAGGTTGGGGTTGGGATGTTTGACTTTGTTTTGTTTTTGTTTGTTTGTTTTTGTAAATTTTTGCATATCAGAAAATTAATCCTGGAAATTGTGATTATTGTAAGTCTATTCAATGACCAAATAAAACCTTAAAATTAACAAATTAACACAAATTAACCATGACTCCTTGTGTTTGTGTCAGTGTCAGTCTTACCAGCCGCGCCACAACCCCAATACCCCCTCCCAAAAAAAATCAACTGTAAACCTACAACACTGAAACTATTTTAGTAATTTATAAAACATTGATCATCTATAACAGTGGTTCTCAAACTGTGGTACGCATACCACTAGTGGTACGTAGGCTTCCTTCCAGTGGTACGCGGAGGAATACTGAATAATGAAAGAAAAAAATGAATACAGTTTTAAGCCTCTGACACAAACCATTACACTGATGTGATCAGCACCGGCTGACCCGTGTGCTCACATCAGTGTGCTTAGAATGTATACTTTAGTTCATCGTGGTATCAGATGCTAAGAATAGGAGCTAGAATATAGCTTAATTAAAGCATAGCTTAATTAAAGTTACACTGTAAAAAATGGCCGTGATTTCAACGGTAAAAAACTGTAAAAATGCTACAGTAAAAATCTGTGACCTGGTTAACAGTATGTTTCCTTAATATATACAGTGAATAACCATGGCTGACACTATAAATATTCCTAATAATAGGAAAAATCTGCCTCGTCATTATGGTGGTACTTGGAGAGACTATTTTTCTGAAGTGGTACTTGATGAAAAAAGCTTGAGAACCACTGATTTAAAATCTTACAATCTAGACAAAGTATCTGCACACATAATTCTGTTAATGATAATAATTATACAATAAATCCGTCATTAACATTTTTATTAGGCTTAATGTTCATTCATTTTCTTTTTGGCTTAGTCTCTTAATTAATCCGGGGTCGTCGCAGTGGAATGAACTACCAACTTATCCAGCACATGTTTTAGGCAGCGGATGCCCTTCCAGCTGCAACCCATCTTTGGGAAAGACTTAATGTTTTAATAAATAAATAAATAAATATATAAATAAATTAATTAATTAACTAAATAATTAATTAATTAATAGTTACCTTAATATACTTCAAAAATTATTTAACATGCATGTTAAAATTCTACTGTACAATACTATATATTTTGTATATTGTTTACTCATACTGTATATTAAAAGTAAACTATAATATGTAATAACATGTAATTTACGAAAAGAAAAATATCATTCTTAAAATACACTTGATGATTCTCAATATTAATAATTTGTTAACATAATTTGATGGTATATGATATTTAAATTGGTTTTATTAAGTTTATTAAGTTTTATTAAAAGGACACTGACCAGAAACTTTTTTTTATCATGTGTCTTTCAAGAATACTTTAAAGTAGTCTAAATAGAGCAGATGTTGGTCATTTAAGCATACTGATGTATTGTATAATTGTTATATCCCACAATGAAACACAGTTTTAAGTTTTAAACCCTAAAACACTGCCACTTAATTTTAATGTAGAATTAATAGTAAGCATAGCTGCTTTTCAAAAACATAATACTGAACCTAATTATACAGGGTAATCTTCTAGCAATAGTATACCTGCACAGAGTTCCAAGAGCAAACAGGGAGATCACCGGTTCGGGTTTTTTGTGCTTTTCCTCAACAGGGTCTTCCATCCAGTCATCAGTCTCCGCATATTCTACTCCATCATCATGGGTTATCCAGTACTGACCTTCCTCTCGATGGTCCAGCTCATCATACTCCTCATCCTCTTCCTCCTCTCCACCTTCATAATCAGAGCCACTACATGACAAGAACACATTATTCAGCATTAAAAACTATGTAAACCAATATAAATGTCTGTTTGAGGAGTTGAGTGTAACTAGATAATAATACATGTTGCTATTGTTTTTTTTAATTTGATTAGAACATTTTGAATGCTTTGTTGGCTAAATAGACGAAACCAAAAATGTAATAGCCAATCATAGATTCTATTCAAACCAAATTTTGTAATGTTTTGATAGATCTTGAAATTAGTTGTTCGCATTGTGTTTTAAAATGAATGAATTATATGAACATAAAACTACTAAATAAATGGTGACTGCTGTTTCTATAGAAGCAAACACAAGTTCACCTGTTAGGGGTTTGATACTCCTGATTCTGAAGTTCCCGAAGAAGTTCTTTGACCTGTAGTTTGTTCTCTGACGTCATGTGAATCTTCTGCAAGGGAAGAGGCACTTGTTCTGATCTAAACCTGGATCTCTTCTCCTCGTCATCATCGTGTTTTCTAGGTAGTCCCAGAGATCTTCCTCTGCCTCTTCCACCCTGAGCCCCGCGGACACCTCCACCTCTTGAACCTCTAGAGGAGGGAGGCTTGAATGAGCGACTGGGACCAAAATCCAGGCTGAAATCATCTCCATCATCCCAGCCTCCACTGGCAAATTTCTTGCCTCCACCTCCACCTCCACCTCCACCACCTCCTCCTCTACCTCCCCTGGGTTTATTAAACCGACCACCACCCCGATTGGGTTTGCTCCTTCTCCTTCCACTCATGACTTCAGCTACCTTTTAGAGCATCCATGAATCACATAAATCAAGTGTTTTGAAGCACTTCCTGAAAAACATTATGTACAAAAGCAGCTTTTTAACAATTTAGAATATGTTTCTCATTTGAATTTCTTATCTGCCTTGATTTTATGTTGATGAAGATTGCAAGCATAAACAAATGTTCAAACGTGAAAACACAGTGACTCAACGTGTTATGAGTTATGATGACGTTTAAACGGTCACGTTAGTACATTACCGGCAGACTAACGTTACAAGTACAACAGCAGTTCAACTTATAATGGTAATTGACAATGAAACCCAACTCACAAAACAAATTGAAGTTATACACGAATCTCTTGCTGTACAGTTACAGCTACTTTGGTATGATTGTAAAAATGAAAGGTGGAATTTTGCAGCAAGTGGAGTGCTTCAACAGGAAACATACTTCGCTTTCAAAATAAAGGTGTTTTGTTACAAAATAAAAGCTTTAAGTCTTTAAATTATCTTCGCTGCTGTATTTTGAAATTAATAAACTAAATTTCACATAAATTCTCTAAAGATACCATTCACATACTTAGAACTAAATATTTAAAGTTTCCTCTGTCTTCAAAAACTAAAGAAGTTCAAATTAAAAGGATATTGCCGTCAAGTGAATATAAAAGAATTAGATTTAAATTTGAGTCTATTAATGTATGTTACACAACAAATTATTTGTTTGTTTTTTTTCACTGTATGTTTGTGGATGCATTATGGTCAGATGTTTATGACAGTCTTTACTCAAAGATTCCACACCTCAGGATCATTAATGTAAATGACATCATTTACATATATATATATAAAGTGAAAATACTAGTGTTTTCTTTCCTATCTTCATAGCAGGGTTATTTTATATTGAAGAATAGCCTTGTTTATAATGGAACAAATAAAATATCTTATGTTCTTTTTTCCAGACCTGCTGTGAGTGTTCCAATATAGGGTTAACTTCCCCATCCATAATAAATTGTAAAGATTTCTGAGATAGAGCATCAATAACACTAAATGGGAAAGTCAGAGTTTTCTCTATTTTCATCCAGCTTATACCCTCTACATTACCATAGTTTTACTTTTTTTTTTTTTTTTTTACAGTTAAGTGTAAATCTTATTTTTAGGCCATGACTATACAATGTCAAGCAGTTAAGTTGAGCTGTATGTGAAATGACTGAACCTGAACTAGGTGGGTTGTATTTAAAAATAGCCATAAAGGTCATTCAGCTTCCTCGCGGCTATTGCATTTGGTCATAAATTAAGGCATATAGCGTACTATAAGATCAATTTGTATATTCTGGTTATATTTGCATCACACATTTATCTCTACATTTATTTCGTTTCTACTCTTTTAATAGTCTATTTTGTCACTTCCACTCTTGAATTATCATTAGCTTGCTAAAAAAGAACATCAATAAGTAATACTTGCTGGCAGCTAGCTCTCTGCAACTCTCACATGATCGCCTGCTGAAGCTAAGCAGGTCTGCGCCTAGTCAGTACCTGGATAGGAGACCACATGGGAAAGCTAGGTTGCAGCTGGAAGTAGGGTTAGTGAAGCCAGCAGTGGGCGCCCAACCTGCTCTGTGTGGGTCCTAATGCCCCAGTATAGTGACGGGGACTCTAAACTGCTCAGTGAGCGCTGTCTTTCGGATGAGACTTTAAACTGAGGTCCCGACTCTCTGTGGTCGTTAAAAATCCCAGGATGTCCTTTGAAAAGAGTTGGGGTTTCACCCTGGCATCCTGGCCAAATCTGCCCACTGGCCTCTCTCCATCATGGCCTCCTAACCCTCCCCATATCATAATTGGCTTTAGCACTTAGACTGTCTTCTCTCCACCAATCAGCTGGTGTGGGGTCTGGCGTAAGGAATTATCATTATGCTTTAAAACATAAAAGCACATTGTTGCTTCGTCCACCACTGGCCTTTTGGATAACTAAGTGCCCCAAATAAAATGTCCTGCAGTTTTGAATTGCATCTGTAAAATGTATAGCCTGTATTGTATTGCACAGCCCAATCATAGAGGACTCACAACATTAAAAATATATAGGTTCAGCCGTCTAGAAAAGTGTCATCATGTTACATATGAGCAAGAAATTCAGTGTCTTGCTTAAAAGCTGTTTTTTTTTTTTCTTCCTAGTGTCTCAACATGCTGCCAAACACTGCTAGCACTGCTCTAGCTCACTGCACTCCACTATTCGTAATGGTCCAATTACATTAGATAGACAGCTTTAGTAAAAGCTCTCTCAGAGGTTGCTGAGTTCACAGAATGAAGTCTTTTCAGTCCAGCAAATTATTTGTGAGTCATTTGTCATTTCTGAGTATTCTGGGTCTTTTAATCTCTGCTCATTTTCTACGCTCACAGCTTTAAATTACTTCTTTAAAGGTTTATTACATTACAGAACGACTTCTGCTGTTGTGTAAATGTTCACCATTCTGAATTTCTTAATATAAACATTATACAAAACCGTGAGTAATTTTGACTCAAATTTTGATATTAAATAGTTCACTATGAACATACGTTCTCCCATATTATGAACTTTGAATCTGATCACATTTATAGCCTAACAAGGTACATCAGACCCAAGTCTAATGCAAAATGTGTGTTTTAGATCAAATGTGAAACTATAACATGACTAAATTCATGTTTACTCTGAGTTTACTGATCATAATGGCCTGCAGTGGTTTGCAGGTGCTTGATGGTAGCAGTTTTAGACTTGAACAACCTTCATGTCGACAGATGGGGGAGCTAGTTAACCAGAAGAGGTTGGCTGACTGATGCCAGACCAGATGAACTAACAGCACTACATAGTTGAAGTCAGAATTATTAGCCCCCCTGAATTATTTGCCCCTCTGTTTATTTTTCTTCTTCTTCAATTTCTGTTCAACAGAGATTTTTTTTTTAAACACATTTCTAAACATAATAGTTTTAATAACTCATTTCTAATAACTGATTTAATTTATCTTCGCCATGATGACAGTAAATAATATTTCACTAGATATTTTTCAAGACACTTCTATACAGCTTAAAGTGACATTTAAATGCTTAACTAGGTTAATTAGGTATATATATATATTTGTTTTAAAGGCTAAAAGTCTTATTTTGGTGGTACATTAAGAGTGGTCATTCTGCTATTTGGGACACATGGAAATAATTATTGTGGGAGGGAAACATGCTTTTATATGCTGTATTGTGACTTAGTAGATTACAATTCATGTGATGTGGTGAAGTTCAATTTTGGTCAATTAATCTGAGGTGTAGTTCTTGCCATTTACAAATCATTACCTCTAACTTTTAATTCAAACTCCAATTTAGCCAATTTAAGGGAGTAGTTAAGTTTATGTTTTGGTATTGGGATGTAGAATATAATCGTGCACAATATGCAGTTTTTAAGTATAAATAAACAACTTGTATCTTAATAATAGGCTTGTATTATGCCACCAGTTAATAGTGAGACTTGATACTTAAACTGGTGTTACCAACATTTTTTAGCAGCCATTACTATGGTCTATTATATTATATTATTATATTATATTATATTATATTATATTATATTATATTATATTATATTATATTATATTATATTATATTATATTATATTATATTTTATTTTATTTTATTTTATTTTATTATATTATATTATATTATATTATTTTATATTATATTAATTTTATTATATTATATTATATTATATTATATTATATTATATTATATTATATTATTTTATATTATATTAATTTTATTATATTATATTATATTATATTATATTATATTTTATTTTATTTTATTATATTATATTATATTATATTATATTATATTATATTATATTATATTATATTATATTATATTATATTATATTATATTATTTTATATTATATTAATTTTATTATATTATATTATATTATATTATATTATATTATATTATATTATATTATATTATATTATATTATATTATATTATATTATATTATTTTATTTTATATTATATTAATTTTATTATATTATATTATATTATATTATATTATATTATATTATATTATATTATATTATATTATATTATATTATATTATATTATATTATATTATATTATATGTCGCCTCACAGCAAGAAGATCGCTGGTTTGAGCCTCGGCTGGCTAAGTTGGCATTTCTGTTTGGAGTTTGCATGTTCTCCCTGCGTTTGTGTGGGTTTTCTCCAGATGCTCCGGTATCCCCCACAGTCCAAGGACATGTGGTACAGGTAAATTAGTAAGGCTAAATTGTCCGTATAGTGTTTGAGTGTGAATGTGGATGTTTCCCAGGGATGGGTTGTGGCTGGAAGGGCATCCGCTGCGTAAAAAAACGTTCTGGATAAGTTGGTGGTTCATTCCACTGTGGCGACCCCGGATTAATAAGGGAACTAAGCTGAAAAGAAAATGAATGAATTTATTCATTCATTCATTCATTTTCTTGTCGGCTTAGTCCCTTTATTAATCCGGGGTCGCCACAGCGGAATGAACTGCCAATTTATCCAGGAAGTTTTTACGCAGCAGATGCCCTTCCAGCCGCAACCCATCTCTGGGAAACATCCACACGCACATTAACACACACACTCATACACTACAGACAATTTAGCCTACCTACCCAATTCACCTGTACCGCATGTCTTTGGAATGTGGGGGAAACCGGAGCACCCGGAGGAAACCCACGCGAATGCAGGGAGAACATGCAAAAAATGAGGTTCGAACCAGCGAACTTCTTGCTGTGTGGCGACAGCACTACCTACTGCACCACTGCCTCACCTGAATTATATTATATTATATTGCTGAAATAAAAGGCTTTTCTGTGTACTTTTGAACACAAATACACATTTAAAGTTAACATGAAATAAAAAAAACTAAATAGCTTATTTTTATATGTACAGTGTTTGTTATAAATTATTATGCATCTGTCATATTAATTTGTACAAGTTAATTTGCCTCATAATCTTTAATCAAATACCATAACCTTCCTTCCCTCCTCAAAGTGACTTTTCTTCGCTTCTTGTCACATGGAACACATTTAAGGCAGGGCTAATTCAGTCTCCCAAAAATCCAATCAGTTCCCAAAGAATAAAATGAAGCACCATATGCATTTTTTGTCTCATTTCAGAAACCAATCAATTTCAATTCAATTAATTTCAATTGGATGTACAGTTTGTCATGAATTAAAGGACAAACTTAGGGGGGAAAAGGGACATACTTAACTTCATTTACATTGAATCAAGGACACCTTAAAATAAAGTGTAACCAAATATTAGCATTGTTTATTCTAATAGATTGTATAGTCAGCATTTTTATGTATATATTTGTATAATTTTATTCATTATATGTTTTTTTTATATAATTTAAGAGGCATCATAACCACCTGGTCGACGT